TTTGGTGCCATTTAACTTTTAAATCTCCTTCAATTGTAGGTCACCATTCTTTATGATTAATCATGCATGTTCTTCGTTGTGTGATCCAATTACTATATTTTACCATAAAATTCTTCGACTTTTTTATGTGCTTTAAATGTATGTTTGCAAGATTCAAATGATTTAGTATTTAGAACCGTAAACCTACATAAACTGAATTAGAGCTGTAGTAAACCAAACCAGAGCTATTTTAGTAACAAACTTAAACAGAACCTTACCAAACCGAATTGTTGGTATTTTCTGATTCTGGTTCCAATTTTAGGGTAAAGCTAGATTAAGCTGCACTGTGCCCACCCTACCTAGTTGACTTGATTGGTTGACTTGTGAAAATGAAAGCTCCTGGAGATTTCTTTGACAATGCGTGTATGAATTGGATCCATGGCCTTGGCCGGCTCCCTTGACTTCCAACTATTGCATTTCTTGGAACTCTTCTGACACTTGATCATTTTTCCTTTTTCTTCTTCCCTAGTTTTCGAGTCGTTTCTTTTCTTTATCCCGGCAAATAATCTGCTAGGTTAGAATTTGAGGCACTGGCAAATGGCCATGGAGGTTCAAATTCCGCGGTAAGCGAAAGCTATCCTTTTTATGTTTGCCATTTTGAATTTTTAGGGTAAAAGTTCTAAGCCAATTGCTGTTTGTAAATGTTGTATAATTCAGGCTACATCACTGTGACTTAGAAGAAAATGCCGCAGAAAAATTCCCAAAGAATATTAGGGAAGCACTGAAAAAATTGCCCAAGAAAAAGATTCTTGATTTACCAGAGCTAGTCCTGCAGAGGTGGAATCAGATAGTTTTAGTTTTCTGTGTTATCGCACTCTCAACCGATCCTTTGTTCTTGTACCTCCTTACGGTTAACAACGAACAGAATTGCCTTACCCTGGACAAAACATTGGCGACCGTAACTGCGCTTCTGCGTTTCAGCATCGATTTCTTTTATATATTTCATATCATTTTTCAATTCCGTGCAAGCAATGTTGCTCATTCTTTTCAAACCTCCCGACAAGGCGAATCGGCTGCAGAGACTCGGGCAAGAGCACGGAAATATTTGTTGATGTACCTACTGGTCGACATGCTTATAATTCTTCCACTTCCACAGGTATGGAAAGCCATTTTATATATAGTTGAACTATAATATTTACAAGGTATGCTAGCTTATAAGCTTGCTCTGATCTGTCCAGGTGCTAATTTTTGCTGTCATTTCAAAAATTAAACATTCGAGGGCTTTCTTTGTCGCAAGTATATGGAGAAATATGTTTGTCCTTCAATATCTGCTAAGGTTTTTTAGAATGGGCTTTTCGTTAAAAGTAGCTCTAAGGGGTTCTAGCATCCTTGCCGAATCTGCATGGGCTGATCTCTTTCTTTTTATGCTCGCCGGTCATGTAAGTTCCATAACCATTTCTAATTCGGGTGATGCTTGAGAGACCATTTTGATATAAAGATGGAATCCAACCATCAACCGCCAATCATATGGTTTTTAAAATATTGTTTAAAACAAAGATGGTCTCCTGTCACTTTCCTTTCTAATCAGTCCTTCGACATCTGAAACGCTTTTGTTGTTCTGTATACGAATTTTCTGGTTCTGTACGTAGGTGACTGGAGCCTTCTGGTATTTTTTTTCTATAAAAAGAATAACGAAGTGCTGGGGAGAAGCCTGCGAATATCATGGAGGTGCGCACTGCTATTCATTTGCAGCTAACGCACCCGTATACAACTCTTGCTCTGCAAACACAATGAATTTTGGAATATACTATGATGCCCTTGAATCTATAGTTCTGGATTCAACTCCTTTTGTAAAAAGGATTTCTTACTGCTTCTGGTGGGGGATACAAAATCTAAGGTTATTACTTATCCAAATTATCCTACTATTGAGAGAATCTAAGGATTTCTTACTGCTTCTGGATTAAGCGCTTTTGAGAATATCCTCTTATATGTTTAGTTGTATCGTGTTATTGCAGCTCCCTCGGCCAAAGCCTCAAACCCACAACTATCTACGTATGGGAGATATACTTTTCACTTGCTGTTTCGATAACAGGCTTGGTGCTACTTGCAATTCTTGCTGGAAATCTGCAGGTTGGTGCTAAACCATTCCCTCCTAGTTCTTTATCTAATTATCAAATGACTGATTGCGCATCGGTTTATCAGATAATCTAATTTACTTATGTAAACCTGATGAGCAGCCTTTTGGTTATCACTTGTCACACAGGAATATGTGCTGTCAAAAATTGCAAGATCGGAGAAAATGAGATTGAAGAAACCAGAAATAGAAATGTGGATGTATTTCCATTCACTTCCTCGGAGTCTAAAGGCACGGATTTGGCAATCCGTGAAACACAAACTGAAAGAAAATATACGCATTGACGTGGAGAATTTTCTTCACCTTCTACCCGTCGAACTTTGTAAGGATATAAAATGGCATCTCTGCTCAGGTCCACTCAGAGAAGTGCCAATACTTCAAACCATGGACGAACAGCTGTTGGAAGCTATCTGCAAACATCTCACGCCGGTGCTATACGCAAAGAACAGCATCATTTTTCATGAGGGAGAGCCAATTGCTGAGATGCTCTTCGTCACACGCGGTAAGCTATTGACTTACACCGCCTCTGCTACTGCTAGGGTAAGATTTCTTGGCAAAGGTGACTTCTATGGAGAAGAGCTTTTCGATTGGGTGCTGATCAACTGTGCCAACTTATCTAACTTCCCCTTGTCAACTGAAACTATCAAGGCGCAAACGGAAGTTGAAGTGTTTGTTCTAAGGGCGCAGCAGTTGAAGACGGTAGTCTCTAAATTCTGGTGGCTTTTCACCAAAGAGCAACGCCGCCACTCGAGCCTTAATACTAGCTTTAACGTGGAGCAATGGAAACCAAGGGCAGCTTATGCTTTGCAAGCAGCTTGGCGTCGCCATAAAAAGGAAACGAGGTGCGAAGGAGAAGTTAATTATTGAGAAGCTCTCCATTGTACTGCTACTTTGTAACAAGTAGACTTTATTTCTATATAGGGTTAAGTAAAGAATCATTGGTTATTCGCTCAAGCACCCGAAGTTTCGTGTTTGAAACTCTCTTCCCGTGTTGTAGGTTGGTTTCTCTCAAATCACACTTCTCATTATATGTCAACATTTGATAGACCATTGAGAATTTGCCCCATCGAACTTTAGAAGTAAGAAGTATAACTTTAGGTACTCCATAGACGCCACAGCCAGAGGATGATGAACACTCAATAGAAATTGTAGCAATAAGGTTATTCAAAACGTTATTTTTCATGTGCCTCTTACCACTAATTGATTTTAGAATGGATGCTCATATGTATTTTAATGAACTTTGTGTTGTGATTGGCTCATATCTTGAGCTGGCAACAATGAATTAACCCGTGTGCTTTCGGTAGTGGATGATTTGTGACTTTGTGTGTTTGCTTTTGGTGGAAATATCACATGTCTGTGGACTGCATTGAAAGTGACAAGTGCTACAAAGGAAAAGCAAAAGTAGGTTTGCTTTTTGACTTTGGGAGCATTTTGTTAGAAATGTGATGACTTGGCCTTTATTTAAAGACAACGAGTCGGCCTTTTCACTTTCGGTGTCATTTTGTATTTTTTTATTTGTGTGGTCACGGTTAAGTCATATCAACATTTTATATTACTATTCATTTTTGTATTATTATCTTTATAAAAAAATAATAATAATATAAAATATTAACGTGGCTTAACCGTGACCACACAAAACAAGAGGGTACGAGAGGGCACCGAAAGTTAGAGGACAGATAATCCTTGTCCTTTATTTAATGCAAGGAAATGCTTGTGTTAGGCATGCTTGCCGAGTGAGAGAGTAAGCGTCATGGAAGTATCCAAGGGGGTGAGCATCCGGCTCTCCCATGGAAAGGTTGAACATGGGTTGAGAGAAATTAAGAGAGTTAGAGTGAAAGATCTCTGGTGAAAGAACTCTTAGGGGTAGAGTGAGGCTTTTGGAAAAATTCTATGAGTGGGTGTACAAGAGATTCGGGATTGGATTATGTCAATTTAATTCATATGTACTTGTACCATTATTCTCATAGTGAAGATCAATATCCCTCCGACGACATAGGCAGGTTTTTGCCGAACCTCGTAAATTTCTCAGTGTCTTTATTTCTTGTATTTTATTCTGTTTAACTGTGGGTCTATATCTTGGTGAGGTAACGAGGCACAACACTTTGCTCTCATAAGCATCAAAAGACAAAAAGAAACGGTTAAGATTTAACTAGATCTTAATAAGTTAAATCTCAATCGTTATTTCATGAAACAAATGTGCCGGAGATAATCATGCATATTCTAATATGGTATTGTTATAGACATATTGGGTGCAATGAGTTATGTGCATTCATGTCACACTCAATAGGGATGTGCTATCCACACATCCCTTTTTATTTCTCACACACCATTTGTTAATTTTTGTCTATTAATCTTCTTCAATTTATCCGATCTGACAGTCGAAAATTAGAAGAGTGTGTGAGAAGTAAAAAAAGGTGTGTGGATATTACATCCCCACTCAATATATATGTATTCTAAAAAAAAAGGCCTACAATTAAACCTCCATAAATTAATAGCCTTGGAACCATGGAAAATCTATTAATCTAGCAAACATTGAATTTATCAAGGTATTTCTTATTTTCTTAAATATTGTATTTTTTATTAATTTTTCGCTTTACAAACTAACAATTCTATATATTTGTTAACCAAGATTTAACGGGTATTAATTTATCAGATATTAAATTATCGAGGTTGTACTTATTTGCTTCTGCTTGTATACTGATATATGATGTATGTACTCGTATTTCGGCACATGGATCTCTCCTAATTTACTACACGCTGATCACTTTTTGTTTGGGTGGAAAGGGAGGGGTTGGAATCATCTTTTATGTGCTTTTATCTTGATATACTTTTAGATCAAACGTCTAAGGGTGACATCACCACTGCTTAAGGGTGGGAAGAAAAGCACTAAATCGAAACCGAACAGTAAATTATTGCACCTCATGCAAAGTCGGAAGGGTTAGCTAACTTGTGGGAGAGGAAGGACTGCAAGAATGTCAATTAGGAAGTATGACGAGTGATACCTCCTTGCAATAGCCCAAGCATCTTCAACTAAAACACCTCTTCCAAACACTCGAGAAGGAGCGATAAATCCAGTACAAAACTGGAAAATTATGTGAACAATACAAAATATATTTGCGAATGAACGCAGAACACTAGCTGTTATCTCCATCTTCCTGTCCAAACCAAGGCACATTTTCTTATCATCGATCACAGGGATGTAAAAGAACAAGGGATCAAGGGAGACGGCAATAATACATACCAATACAAATATCTTATTCCACTTCTGAAGGAATGGCCCTTCACGTACTTCTCTTGCTGAAAATTCATGACTACAATTTGTTTTCGATAGAATCTTCAAACGGAAAGTTAACCTCCAAACGTTTGAATAACCCGAAGAGCTTCCTCGTGCAGCACCAAGTTTCCAAAAGTAGTCCCTAGACAACGATTCAAAGTGAAGCAAAATGAGTTCAACATAGAAACTTCTGTAATTTCACAAGATGTTTCGTAGAATTACTCTCCTAAATGCGTTAATAAAAGAGGAAACTTTATCTGGGGTCCAACAGCAATATCAAATTGCAGTTTGCCCCAATTCAAAAAGCAGAAATCGCACTAACGCTGGATATCCATACAAAAATATCTTCGTTTGAGTAATATCTCCCCAATTTAGCATCCATTTTTTTCATACATTCATAAAATCAATGCTAACAACAAAATATAGTAAGTAAATAAAAAATATTGTCACAAATGGAACAACAGGACCTCTTGCATTCAAAATTTGAACCAAAAGCCAACGAATTTCAACAAAAATAATTGATATTTTTGGATTTCCAATTTCATAGTCCTTTCCAAAAAAGACCAGAAAAACTAAATCTTTTACATTTCAAAAACTAAAAATCCAATCTTTGAGGTAAAACCACCGTTCTAAAAATCCCCGCCTAGACACTAGACAGGTTGACCACCATCCTGATTAATGCATAGGCATTTGAAAATTTAGAAAGGAGCGCCTAGACCTAGTGAGGCACCCGCTTAAGCACCCACCTAGCCCGCCTAGACCTACCTAGACACCCGCCTAGGTTGTGACTCACTTAGAAAAAAAATAGATAACTTAATTTCGCATTTTTTTAATAAATTGTAAGAGACTTATTGAATACTTAAATGAACACACATTATATGTTTGTTGCTCATATTTTCATTATGTTTCAGTACTTCATAATATACAAGTAATTCTATTTTATAATTTATGAATTAATTATATATATTCATATTTATTTACCAAAAATATAACAGATTTACTTAAATTTGCCTAGAACCGGCCTAGCTGCCTAAACACTAGGCCCTAACCTGACGCCTGATTAACGCCTAGCATTTTTTAAAACCTTGGGTAAAACCTTGTTATTGAAACAAAAGAAAAAAGGAACAGAAACAACAAATTGAAGAAAACCCAACAACAAAAGCGGCGAAAATACAATAACTCACCAAACAATAAAGTCTGAGAGTGACCAAGAGAGCAGATTGTCCATGGCAGAACAACCCAAACAGAAGCTTCTCCTTATGATTATCTTCCAAGACCCAGATAGCTTTTAATGCTCGATATTCAATCAGTGACATAGAGAGAGATTGATTAAAGAGGAAGAAGAAGAAGAAGACGAAGGTTCTGGGAAATGCGTAGGGCAATAAGTGAGTCGGTGGGTCTCCGAGTCAAGTGATTTGAACACTCCGTCGGCCTACCCTCCTCATGATTAAATAAATTATAGACTTTGAGACAAGCGTTTGGACAAAGACAGAGAGAGAGGAAGTACTGGTTTGGTGAGGTGCTTTTATAAAAACTATCATTTATAACCAAAACCTCACATCAATATTGACACACCCCGACCGAAATCAAGGCGTGCTGGGCATCACGTAAACTGACACACCCCGACTAAAATCAAGACGTGCTGGCCGTCACGTCATCGATACAAATATTTCGGCATGACCTGTCACAAATATACCAAATTACCCTCAAAATGAAAAACAAACGCCAAAGAGATCTATTTGTGTTCTTTTTCATTTTAGGGTTTAATTATTTTCATATCTCAATTCGAATCCAAAAAGATAGAAAGAGGAGCCTGATGAAATTAAACATTTAATAAAGAGGTATTTATTCTAATGGAAATTAAGTCAATCAAATTATCAAATTTCCTTTCTTAATTTACAAGCCTACAACGAAGATCATGATAAAAATTTCACATAACTACAAATTTTGAATATTCTTGTGTGATAATTAATTGATATTTCTTAGAAAATTTTGTTAGAACTATTAACTTCTGGATATTTTATAAATAGTATTCGGTAGGTAATTTTTTTTTTTTTTTTATGAAACTGCGATTACATGTTCTTATGCATTCTGCATATGATCTCTTTAAGTAGAGGGTTACCCAAATTAGGCATTTAATTAAGGGAAATTTGTCACATCCCAGCCCGAAGCGGATCACTTTCCCGGCCCGCTCCACCACCGTAGCACGATATTGTCTGCTTTGGGCTTATCATTCCCTCACGGTTTTGTTTTTGGGAACTCACGAGCAACTTCCCAGTGGACCACCGATCATGGGATTGCTCTAGCCTCCTTCTCGCTTAACTTTGGAGTTCCTACGAAACCCGAAGTCAGTGAGCTCCTAAAAGGCCTCGTGCTAGGTAGGGATGAGAATATACATTTAAGGATCACTCCCCTGGACGATGTGGGATGCTACAGTCCACCCCCCTTAGGGGCCCGACGTCCTCGTCGGCACACACACGGCTAGGGTTAGGCTCTGATACCAATTGTCACATCCCGGCCCGGAAGGGACCACTTCCTGGGCCCGCTCCACCACCGTAGCACGATATTGTCCGCTTTGGGCTTACCATTCCCTCACGGTTTTGTTTTTGGAAATTTACGAGCAACTTCCCAGTGGGTTACCTATCATGGGATTGCTCTAGCCCTCTTCTCGCTTAGCTTCGGAGTTCTTATGGAACCAGAAGCCAGTGAGCTCCCAAAAGGCCTCGTGCTAGGTAGGATGAGAATATACATTTAAGGATCACTCCCCTGGGCGATGTGGGATGTTACAAAATTCACTCCAGACAAGTGCATTAGAAGATGAGAATATTTTAGATCGATTTTATGGTGATTGGCTTCTTCCGTGAGGAGAATCATATATATGACGATTCAAATCCAAAGTCTAAGAAAATTGATGTTGTTGCTTCTGGATCTCAATATGGCAATGTTACTGGGGAACAACGATGCTTAATTAGGTTTTGGTTTTAGGTGTAATTAAGCTTTAATTTTGAGGGTATTTGGGTCTATTCAAATGAATTTTTGAATTGTTTTATAAAAACTAACATTAATGAATTTTTGTGCTAAATTTTGACTATAAATGATAAATACCCTTTGAAAATTAAATGATAATTAATGTCATAAGCTCAAGCCATCAGACTCTGGTTGACTTTATTGGTTGCCTTGTGAGGAATGAAATCTCCTCGAAGTTTCTTTGAGAATATCTGTGTGAATTGGATCCATGCCCTTTAATGGCTTTGTTGACTTGAAGGAACTTGTCGGTCTTAGCACTTTTTAGGGTCGCCGTTGCTGCTGCTTTCTACTTACAACATGTTGCATTTCTTGGAACTCAAACGGTTTTCATGAAACCTTTCTGACACTTGATCTTTTTGCTTCTTTCTTCATCCTAGTTTCTGAGTCTCTTCCTTTCTTTAACCCGGCAAATAATGCTAGGTTAAATTTTGTGGCGCTGGCAAATGGCAATGGAGGTTCAAATTTCATGGTTAGAGCAGTTCCAGTGTGGGAACCCTCCCCTAGGCAATACATTATTTAATCCACCTAGTGAATAGTAACTGCCCTTAGTGAACAATAACTGCCCTTAATAAACAGTAATAGTCTTTTGCATCTCCACCGTTGCACTTGAATAGCTCTGGCAATAGGTAATAAAATATTAATTTTTTTCTCACCCAATCCATCAAACATCCCCATCACCCTTTCCCTTTTTTTTTTGTTTGACCGGTTCTTCTTCCTATCTCTCTCTTTTATTTCTATCTCTCTTTCCTTTTTCCCCCTCGTTTACCTTTTTCCCTCATTCCACTATCATCATCTCTCCTCTTCTCTGCTTCATTCCTCCCTCCTCGATTTCTCCTTCTTCCCTAATCTTCGTCTTCCTCTCCTCTTCTCTGCTTTCATTCTTTTCCTTTCCTCTTCCACTACCCTTCTCTCTACACATAGCGTGTGACATCCCACATCGTCCAGAGGAGTGATCCTTATATGTATATTCTCATCCCTACCTAACACGAGGCCTTTTGGGAGCTCACTGGCTTCGGGTTCCGTTAGAGTTAAGCGAGAAGGGGGCTAAAGCAATCCCATGATGGGTGACCCACTGGGAAGTTACTCGTGAATTCCCAAAAACAAAATCGTGAGGGCGTGGTCAGGGCCCAAAGCTGACAATATCGTGCTACGTGGTGGAGCGGGCCCAGGAAACGGTTTTGCCCGGGTCGGGATGTGACATAGCGGCAACTGCTTGTCGGGACTAGAATTTCTCCCTAATTTTTCGCGACTCGTTCTAAGTCCTAGCCATGATTCCTGAATAGTGAGTTCAATCTGATGATTCTTTTTTTTTTTTTTAAATTTCTTGTTTGATTTATTTACTGCCGATCGAATTTGATCCCATATACGGTGGTTTTAGAACGGCAGTTTTATTGGAAAATTTAGTTTAATTTAATTTTTTTGAAATTGATTCTGCATAGTTGATGTTTTTCGTTCGAATTGAGGGTTTGGGTGTGTAGATTCAAGTCAAATGAGGGGGAAGGAGAACGGGGGGATGTCAAGGTCGGCGCATGCACCGATGCCGTACATCGGCCACACATCACACAGCCCTCAGGCTCTTGGGCTGTCGATTCCTGCATGGCCTCTCGCTCGGGCCTGCTCGGGCTCGCGCACCAGCACACGCTGGACTTCATCACTCAGGCTCTTTGGCCCTGTTCCTGCGCCTGTCCCTAGGGCTGGAGCACACGGTGGAAGTGCTCTAAGTAAATGCTGTCCTTTTTATGTTTGCCATTTTGGAGTTATGGGAAAAAGTTATAAGCCAATCATTTATACAGTAACACATGATGTATCACCACGTGTATCGATCACATTGAAAAATCTTTCATACCCGGAGAGCAAAGTAGAAAAACACGTGGCATACTAGTATTACGGGTCTCAAAACCCCTCGTGGATGAGGCAGCAACATATGACTCCTAAAGTGGGAGAGATTTTTTAATGTGACCGGTACACGGATGGTACATCATGTGTCAATAAACAAATGGTGGGATATGTATGCTCAAAGGTTAATAACTTAAAAAATAAAATTTCTCTTCATTCTTATTAAAACACGTGATCACCACATTATGTACTACTTGTGTTCCTGTCCGAATTAAAAATTTCTCCTAAAATGGATGCATGAAAGCCGCCACGTGGCCACCTCTATTCACTGACAAGCTACAAAATGCATCTGTCTCTCTTTCTCTCCTCTCTCTATCCACCTCCTGAATCTCGCTCACTTCGTCGCTCTCTTACTTTCTCTCTTTAGGGTTCCATATTCTATCAGATTTTTAGAGCGAGAAAATTGTACTTTAAACATACCCTTTACTTGATATTATATTAGTAAAGCGCTAGCGCTCCAATAGACTAAGGCTCTTCTGCATGGAGCTGATTGGATCACACTTTTAGATTCGGATCCTCGCCGTCTGCGCCCGGTTTATTCAATCCGATCCGATCCGACTTGGTGCTCCAACTCGAAGATTTCCAATCCGCAATTCTGTAATCAATTCAACGTTTTCTCCTTAATTTCATCGCAAAATTTGATTGAATTTAGCTCTTGATCTGCATTTGGTTGGCCGTGGATGTTATGTGTTTTCTGTTTGTGAACTTGTCAATTAACTTCCTGTTTGGTTGCCGAGAAAGCTGAGGAGGTAAGTGATAGAAACTAGAAAATGTTGTTTTTATTTCGCATCTTCTTGTTGCTTGTTCATGGAATTAACTTTAGCTCAATCGGAGAGGCTGGATTAATCGATTTAGTCTAAATTTTGTTAGTTACATTGGCATCTTTTGGTGATTTTCGATTTCTGCTGTGCATTTGCAGAAGATCTGGTTTCCGCTGGTGGACCGGTTTATGTTTAGATGATATGCAGAAGATCTGGTTTCCGCTGCTGTGCATTTGCAGAAGATCTGGTTTCCGCTGGTGGACCGGTTTATGTTTAGATGATATGCAGAAGATCTGGTTTCCGCTGCTGTGCATTTGCAGAAGCTCTGGTTTCTGCTGTGCATTTGAAAACCCTTTTTACATGTCGAAATTCAAAAATACAAACAGAAAAGCAAAGAAAGCTACAGACTGTTTAACGTACAACAAACGTTTGAAATATGCCTTAGACTCATTCAAAAAAATTTCAGATGAAACCACATTTGAATATTTAATGTCATTAGACTCAGAAGATCGGTTGCCTTTATTTGTTGACTCTATTTGTTGACTTTATCTGTTGACTTGTGAGGAATGAAATCTCCGCGAAGTTTCTTTGAAAATATCTGTTTAAACTGAATCCATGCCCTTGAATGGCTCCGTTGACTGGAAGGAACTTGTCGGCTTTCGCACTTCTTAGGGTCGCCGTTGCTGTTGCTTCCTACTTCCAACATATTGCATTTCTTGGAACTCAACCGGTTTTCATGAAACCTTTCTGACACTTGATCTTTTTGCTTCTTTCTTCATCCCTAGTTTTCGAGTCTTTTCCTTTCT